AAGCAAATCTTTAGTCCATGCTTAATAGTTTGATAACACTTGTATTAATAAAGAAATGTACCCTAAGCCTAATGCTTGACACAGGAAAGGTGTAGAGTCAGCAAAAATGTTAATTGCAATAATAAGTCTCCTTCCACAGCATCAGCTAGCTGCTTATCTATGAGCCAGCAATGTGTGCTGGCAGCCCAGAGAGCCAATCATATCCTGGGCTGCATCCCCAGCAGCTTGGGCAGCAGGGCAAGGGAGGGGATTCTGTCCCTCTGCTCCAGTCCGGTGAGTCCCACCTGGAGTGCTGCATCCAGCTCTGGGGTCCCAGCACAGGAAGGATATCAACGTCTTGGAATGGGTCCAGAGGAGGCCACCAAGGTGACTAGAGGGATGGAGAACCCCTGCTATGAGGAAAGGCTGAGAGAACTGGGATTTTTAGACCTAGAAAAGTGAAGGCTGACCTAATCGTGGCCTTCCAGTACCTGAAGAAAGGTGGAAAGAGACTACTTACAAGGGCCTGGAGTGTTAGGACAAAGGGGAATGGCTTCAAACTAACAGAGAGTAGGCTTAGATTAATGTTAGGAAGAAATCCTTCCCTGTGAGGGTGGTGAGGCACTGGCACAGGTTGTCCAGAGAAGCTGTGGGTGCCCCATCCCTGGAAGTGTTCAAGGCCAGGTTGGATGGAGCTCTGAGCAGCCTGGTCTTAGTCAAAGGTGTCCCTGCTCATGGCAGGGTATTTGGAACTCAGTCATCTTTAAGGTCTCTTCCACCTCAGGCCATTCTATAATTCTATGTTATCTAAAGGCAATAATTTAACAAAATAACATGACACTTCTAAGCTATTCACACAACTTCAAGAAATAGGTGGGTTTAAAAGTATTAGACATTCTGAGGAATGTAATAAAACTTGAAGAGTCATAACCCTGGGAAATTAGTGGAAGATTTTGAAGATGCTGATTGTTCATAGACAGATTAGAAAATGCTTTGGGTCTAGTGCTGCTGCTGACCCAGCAGATCATGTCACCACACTGTCTTTAACAGTGTTTAGGTCAATGAATGCTACAGGTGACAGCACTGTGATGTCCAATATACTGCTCTCTTCCTTCTAGCCTTGAACCTGGGCTGTGACGCTTATTGAGTCCTGGAAATTGAGACAGGTCACCGTCTGTGGTCACTGGAGTACATCCAGTCAATCCAGTGGAGTGCATCCTT